CTCCCCAACCCCCTTTACTCCCTATTTCGGCCTCCGTCGGATGATGCATCGGTCATCCAGGCAACGCTACTTTTGAAGAAGTAGTAGAGGGATGCGTAATGGTGTGCGGGGCTCCTAATTTCTATCGGTGAAACCCACGAAATCCTTCCGATTGTTGAATTTCAATGGACGACGACGGCATCTACCGTTACATGATGGATCGAATAGGTGTGGGCGAAGGGAAATTAGGATCGGATCGATGGTTCGTTCCCGGTATAATGAACTGTGGTTTACCCGTGTATTATAGAGAAATGGGAGGCTACCGTGGCGCGGTTTTATGGTTATTCTTGTTTTTTTTTTTCTTTTTCTTTTTTTTTTTACGATCGGAATGCCCGGGGAAGGGGGGGATTTCATCATCCGATTTTCATCATCGAAACGATTCTCGGAAGTAGATCATTTTGTATTTATTGGACATTGAAAGAATACGAATGAATAAGCTATTCATATATATCTTTATTTTTATTTATTTTTTTTATACCCCTTTATTATTTCTTTTCGATATTAATATCAGGATTATATTTAATTTTTGTTTTTCTCTTCTCTGTTTTATTTATTTTTAGAATTTCTTCCAAAAATAATGTTACACATTACGTAATTTACTTTAATACGTTTAACGAAGAACAAAATTAATTATTTTGGATTCAACCGAATCGAATTCGTTCAAAAGTTTTCGAGATTTGATGAAAGTCAGACAGATCTTTGTTTAAATTTATACCTGATTTTTGGTGGAACGGAATATAGGTAGCTACCTTGCTTGAAAACGCGTGGGCCCGCTGAAGGCACGCGTGGGCATATTCACGCTTTTAATGGTTTCCGCCCACGTGGTATGCCGGTTTTTCTTTCGCCGCCAAAGTTAAGCTCGATTCCTACTACTAGTTTACAAGATTCGCTCCATGTCCGAATAATGATCACATCTCCAATCGAAACATTTCTTTTTTTTAAAAACCTCGAAATTTTTCGCTTCGAGTCGAAATTTTCAAATTCGAAGGAAAATAATTTTTCATTCCCTAGGGACATTCTAGGGACATTTCGAATATACCTGAGAATTACCTAAGAGATTCTGAACTATCACTTGGTAGCAGTGATCGGATTCTCGATATCTTCGAATTTCTATACACCTGTGATCTTGTAACAGGCAACGTTAGTTGGAAACGAGTAAAATCCGAGAAGCGTTGCAGTGATGATTTACACCACGATTCATAATCTGAATGAACACAATTAACGTTAAATTACGTCGTGAACAAAACGTACCCAATGATATCGAGTGTTATCGATTCAACGAGCGGATAATACGAGCGGTTTCTTTTGTTTGATTTAGTTGATGGACGCGCCGTGTCACGTTACTTATTCTAGTTCGCGCGGAAACAATTCAATTAACAAAACAGGTCATTGTCTTGCTTACCTGTGACGGCCTAGAAGGTGTAGGACTTGGATTATGACTAATAGGATGTATTCTGTTCTTGATTTAACGTATTGATGTCAGAATCTTTTCTAGGATATGCGATCGGTAAATTATACCGATATGAGAATCAAAATACCATTTGTGTTTATAGATTATTGGATACTTTGCATATTCGATATAAGGATGATGTTATCGTTAAGTGATCTAGATTTGATAATTAAAAATTTTTCTATCACTGATAATATTCCAATGAATATGCAAATTGAAATTTAACATTCTGTGTTAAAAATTTATTGCGCTCGATATTTATAGATCGTATTTACCTTGTAAATATAAAGCTAATAAATAATTTAATTGGAATAAATTTTTAATTTGATTTTTTGACACGAAGCGATCGTCTTGTTAAACAGTAATTTTTATTAATCATTATTTATGAAGCATTTCTTTAAGAGTATTTCTTTAAGATATTATTTTATATTATATTTTTATAAATTTGTAACGTTAAATAACATCGGATTAAAAAGTTTTAAAATATTCCAATAAAATCTGTATGCAAAAAAAAAAAAGTTCTGAAATGTGTCTTATATATTATTCAACCGATTAAAAATTCATTTGTATAGTTAATTAATGGAGTAGAATAATGTCGACATAGCAAAAAAAAAAAGTATCAGTTTGTATACCAGTTTGATCGAATTCCAATAAAGTTGGTCGTATATTTATAGACGACAGCGTATATTAAAATATTTTTGAATACAATTATCAGCATATATATATATATATATATATATATTTTATTTGCCTTAATTTCATTCAATCATTTTATCTTTTTACACCGTTTCATATTCTACCCTACCCGTAATCTCCTTTTATTGATTATCAGATAACGTTAATCGATATTTATATTTTCAATATTCGATATCTCGTATCAAGAATTAAGTTAATTAATCAATCAATTCTCTGATATGACCCCATAATCTAATAACAATAAATAAATAAAATTTTCCGAGTCATAAAGGATAACATTTACAAGGATAAACATTTAATTTAATATCGATATTGATAATATCTTTATTGCACAACTTTCAGGGCTTGGACAGCAGCGGAAGGCCAGCTTTCGTCCTCTACTTTCGCGTCCGCTACTACGTCGACACACCGTTGCTCCTAAGGTAACAAGATTTCTTAATAGGCAGTAGTCACATTTCTGCCTGATTACATAATTTCACCATTCGTTCACTATCGATACTAACTTTATCTTTATACCCATTGCCCAATGCTCAATACCTAACTCTAACTCGTTTTAACATCGAGAGAGAGAGAGTCTAGGATCGAGAGAGGATCCGGTAAGGGCGAATAAAAACTCCCGGTAGTCGGTTCGAGGCTACACCGGCTGACAAATTATTCACTCGAAAGAGG